TTCGTGTGTTTGTGTTTTCATGCGCATGAATTTGCACGCCATGTGCGTTCACAAAAATATGTGCTTATGTGCAGGTATTCTTTTTCCATATACATGTAAACATGCATATACACATACGCACGTTGACAAAATGCACTCATACCAGTCTACAAATACACTTACATACATACATACATACACTCACGTACGTTGATGAAAATGTGTATTTATGTCTCTATCCGCATACATGTAGTACACACATTCATATATGTCCATGAAAATATATACTCATACTGTTTTCACGTACATGTAGATGTACTTACGTGGACCTACAATTCATAAACCAACTCCATAATACTTTTGCAGAAGCCCATTGATCGCACTCGGGAGGATATACTGCCTACTCGCAAAACACACACACACACGCACGCATGCACGCACGCACAGACGCACACACACACACACACACACACACATCACGCATACCCACAGAGAACACTGTAGCGCAATTCAAATTGCCGCCAAGCGCCGCGACGCGAGACATGTATTCGCACTGGATGTGTTGCGCCGCGTTTCTGTATGATATGCGCGAATGGTTGAGTCGTGCGTGCCGTGTGGTTGCCGCTTATTACTCAGGCGTATTGCGAGATATTTATTGCGTGAACTTGACGTAAACATGATAGAAAGTTAAAAAGATGAGAGAGCATTTGGTAACGAGTCATTTTAACGGAAAAATCAGTCCCATGCGAGCGAGTGAGCGAGTGAGTGGGTGAATAAACGGGCCAGGAAATGTTAACGGGGCCGTTTTATCTTCATCGGCTTACCGCATTTATGTGCGTACGTAAGGGAGAGTTTGTGTGATGGAATTGTAGTTATATTGCAAACAGTATTACAGCAAATAGTCAGACAATAACGGTTTCGAGGAAAGATTCTCGAAATGACGGGAAATTCTCGAGGAGTTACCTAACATTAATCTTCATTCGTTAATCGGTGGTGATAAGTAATCGTAAGAATGGTAAAGTGCAAAATTGGGCATAACTTAATTATAACTTGATTGGTGTTCCTTATAGTCAGTCGAATTGTTTGCACTCATAGTTTCAGGCTTTTTTGCATTATAATGGTCTGATTTATTTCAATGTGATTGTAGTTGTGGAAATTATATTTTTAAAAGTTCAATTGGTATTTTAAACAAATAAAAGACCACATTAGGATCGATTAAGATATAGCAGACAAACGAGAAAGGTTTTTGTTATGTTTTACTGATATGATATGGGACATGTTCGGTTAAACTGTGATATGCAGGAATAGTTTTGAAATGCTTTTTTTTTGCAGGAAGAATACCACCATGAGCGGAGTGAAGCGTAAATCGTGCATGAGAGAGGAAGTATCATCGAATATCCCGAAAAAGCATGGACGACGTTCCCGTAACGTTAGGGAAGAATTGGACGACGTAATGATTTTTGCTTGTTTTTAGATTTATTTTGTACGATGGTTAGTGTTTGTTCACCATCCGACAAATTTAATTCTAAGAAATAATATATTATTACACACGTTTGCAGTCACATAAACGAATTATATAAGTGATGCTGATTTGTGTATTTTTTTTAAGACTTGGTAAGTTAAAAGAATACTTATTAAAATATTAAGCACTAGGTTCCTAATAGTTGGGCAACGGTGATGCGTCCTAAGAATTTTGTTTTCTCACGTAAATCACACGTAGCTAGGTTATATGAATTAACCATAGATAAGTAATCTTGTAGACTTGTTGCCAATGTTAAATTGTTAAACAAATTTAAGGAAGTTGGATAAATAATGGAAATTATAAGAATAAATAATAGAAATTACAGTGAAGTTATTGCTGCAAATAGGTAATAAATAATAATAATTATAAGAGAAGTAAGTGCTGAAATAATTGCTTCATGCCTGTAATACGTAACTTTCTAGATATGTTCGTGCGCTCTTTTTTCCTATTGTTTTTTTTGCAGCTTCAATTTTAGGTTTAATTGTGCAATTATTGAAGAAGGTTGTATGTAACTTAAAGTTATGAGAGTGGAAAGCATATGAATTCTTGACTTTGGATTCAAGTTGTAGATTTTGGAGTATAAATTGATAAATTTAGTTGCGACAATGTGCTGAACTGGTGGACATTTTACGTAGCTATAGGACTGCCGATAATCGGATACTGTGTGAAAGTTTCATCCGTGCACCATCTCGCCGGTATGGATTTATGTTTACTAAAATTTGCAGAATTCTATAACATTTTAAATCATTTTGTGCTGAAATTATTGCTTTCAGCACGGATCCAAAATATTTTGACGTTGTTACACATCCGATCGATTTGACAAGGATTCAGCAGAAAATTAAAACCGAAGAGTACAGTACTGTCGAAGATCTTTCGACAGATATCCGTTTATTGGTTAATAACAATAAGACTTATTACAAGGTTTGAAATTTTTTCATGTATTTCAGATTTAATCTGAATTTTGACTCGATGTTTTAGTTTTTGTATCGAGTTTTATGTTTTCCCTAACTTAAAAATCAAATAGAAGGTGTCGTGAAATAATTAAGTTCTGTATCTGATAATAGCATAGTTACCGCAAGGCTTTCTCAAACGTTAGGACTATCCTAATAATTTTTGAATACAAATAAAGTTTCATTTTCAATTCATCTGTAAGTTCTTGATTCAGGAGGGCAGTCAGGAGTATAAAGATGCTTGCGAATTATGGGAATTATTTGAGTCGCAGAGGAAAGAAATGTTTAGGAATGCTTCCGCTGCAGAATTGGAAGAACAGTTTGGTTTTTTTTTGTACTTTTTGCTTTCTTAGCTTTTTATTTGAAAATTTTCGAAGCTACTGTAATTATTGCAGCCAGAATACAATAATTGAGACAAAACGCGATATGGTGCCAATTGATTTACTGGAAGAAATCATTGTCTGCACTCTAGAGCTCACAGATGAAACTGGCCGATTGCTTAGTCCACCTTTCCGTGTTTTACTTTCTCAAGAAGTCTGTTTTCGCATAGATTTTTATTTCTGTACACATTTCAGTTCTATCAGTTTATTAAATTCAACATAGTTTCTAACGTTATGCAACACTGTCATCGATAAGTGCATATATTCTGAGGAAGTTGGTAGCGACAGACTGTAAAAAACTTTTGCTGTCCACACACTATTTTACTATTGTTCTTGAAGTGCGTCTTACAAGTTTTAAATACAAATTAATTTAAGGAATTTCCTACTTATTATGATCGAATCAAAAAACCAATTGATCTCAAACAAATAACGATAAAGATTCGCTCCGGCGAATATCACACCTGGCAACAATTTGATGCCGATTTTCGATTAATGTGTAAAAATGCAAAAGCCTTTAACGAATTAGGTTCAGTGATTAGTAAGGTTTGTGTATTATGTATTTTTTTTAAATTTATTTTCATCATTTATATTCATCAGTAGCATCAATCGCCACATAAAATTTCAAATCACCTCACTTTTTCCACTTCACTGTCACGTTTTAAACAGTAAAACAACAAAAGTTTTTTTTTTTTTATAGTACCGGTGGTGAGTCGGATATTTAGCAATGGAAATTGCTTACTTTTTCCATGAGAGTGATTGCGGCACTCTTCCAAACAGTGTAATTTAAAGATTAAAAGTCATAAAAATTCAAATTGTACAAGTCATCTTAATTCCGAGAGGTTTACATCTACGAAGTTTTTGTTGTAGGATGCTTCCATGTTGCTGAAAAATTATATGAAACGTAAGGCAGAATTATGTAATTCCAAACATAAGCCGCTGACAATTAAAAGGTTAGTTCTTTGATTTATTTTAATATGTGGCTGGTTTTCTCTTAGTAGCAACTTATTTAAAAAGGAACGGAAATAAAAAAAACCAATTTCAGGATCAATGCAAATAAGCAAGTTTTGGATGAATTGTTAACACAGAATGCTGCAGTTAATTCAGGTCAAGAATATTCAGAAGATTCGGAGGAAGACGAGGATTCGGAACATAGCAGTGAAGCAAAATGGGTTTTGTATTGGACAATTCGCAATGAGCCTAATCCAATTGATCCAGAAACTAACCTGGCAGATCCATTTTTGGAGTTACCCAGTAAAAGGTTAATTCTGAAATAAAGCTTTCTATGAGTGTGCATGTCCTAAATGGTTTTCTCCATTTAGCTTTCTTTATCCATGAATTTTTAAAACAGTAATCATTTGTTTATTCCTTATAACCTTTGTTGTAACTCTGTTCATCTGCTTTCTGTATGTTTAGTTACTTTCACTCGGATGATTTTGGAATTTGTTTTGACTTTTCGTATTTTTAGTTGGTATCCAGATTATTTTGACGAGATTTCGGAACCCATGTCTCTTTTTATGATAAATAAGAAATTAAAACGTGATGAATATCGTACATTGGAAGAACTTCTGAAGGATATCGTGCTCATTTTTGAAAATGCGAAAACCTACAACGTTGAAGGTTCTGATATTTATGAAGCGGCAGCAAAACTGGAAAGACTGGCAAAATCAAAAGCTCGAACGTTGCAGAAGGTAAAGTTTTATTTTAACCCACTGGTTACATCAACCTGAACATGAAGAAATTAAATAAATGGGCAACAGTGCCCTTAACTGAGTTCACATCATTTCCTTGGAAGATCGATATTGGATTTCATAAAGCTCTATTACTGTTATGATCGTCATTGCATTTACACAAACTCCAGATTCAAGCTCAAAATTATATTCATCTAATGTTTCATCATTGAACACTGAAAACTCTGAATTTAAGTTGCGAAAAGGTGGCCAAAGGTAGAGCGATGAAATGTAAGATGTTTCTAAATGAACTTTAGTGAAATCAAATTTGATTTAATTTATAAGATTTAAGTCTTTTTTCAGAATGTTAAAGTAAACGAAGCTGGAGAAAAGATATTAAATAAAAGCGCACAATTGCCGACTGTTACACGATCTGTTTGGAAAAAATTGCAAAAAATAGGGGGATCAACATCTACGCAGACATCAGGTTCAGGCGTAAAACCAGAATCATCAGTTGTTCCATCATCATCGGCTGAAAGCTCTGAGTTTAGAAGACGCGGAAGTAATCGAGGGTGCAGCGACGAGATGTTAGCAGTTTTTCGGAGCAAAGTGAAAATATTGTGGAACGCTGTTTATAATCATATGGTAATTTTCAAGTGTCGCATATAATCATTTATGTAATTTTTAAATTTTTGTATCGTATTATTTGATAGTATTACAAAGAATAAGCAAAACAACTAAGCCTCGTACATTCACTGAGCATTGTTGCTTCTGCTAAATCTTACAGAGTAATTTTTATACTGACGATGCTGAACAAAAGTTATAACTATTAGTGTGCAAAAGAAAAATTTGTAGGATGGTAAACGACGTGTTGCTACTGATTTTATGTTCCTACCATCAAGGAAAGATTATCCAGAATATTACGACCATATTGAAAAACCTATTGACTTAACTACGATCAAACACAAAATTGAAACTGATCAGGTAGGATACTTTTGTTTCAACACGTTTAAATTTCTGTATTTGCTCACAAAATAATCTTTCGCTCGTTTTCATGGTGCATTATTCTGACCCATTTATGCATGATATGCATTATTTCATAAAATGCAATTTCCTTTACTGATCTAGTGCATATTAAAAAAAATGTTCCTGAGAATTTGCTAAACTGTTAAATTTGTCAGAAACTTTGCATAAATTTTTGCATCATAAAAGCTTCGGAGGGTATGTAATGAATTGTCGTAGTAGAAGATTGAAAATATGAAAGTATGAAAATTGAAAATTATAAAATATGAATGTCCAAGGAGTGCATATTTGATTTGAATTCTTTATAAGCTTAATTTTGCAATCCATATTCGAAAATTCATCTTGATTTCATCATCATGCAGGTGAGATTTGTGATTTTTTAGTTTCAGTCATTTTTTATGAAAGTTTCGATAATATATGGGTTTTGGTTATAATATTTGAATTTCGATTCGATTGAAGTTGTAAGAGCCAGGTCATGAAGTAAACAGCTTTGTTTCAGTACACTTCAACGAGTGATTTTATGAAAGATATGGATCTACTTGTCCACAATGCTTGGGACTTCAATGAACCTGATTCGCAAATTTATCGCGATGCAACAACGCTACAGTCTGTTGTGCGCAATGCCCTTGGTACAATTCCAGGATTGCCAGTTTTCAGTCCCAAACATTGCAAAAGCAAAATTGGGTACGCCGGATTTGTGCATGTCAATTTATTTTTTGCGAAATTTTGCAAGTCAAATCTGTTTCTAGCTCTAACTACTTAGTTTTCAGGAAAAATATCTTCAGTTTTTTATTGCTAGTAAAAGTAAAAATTTCGAATTATCATGAGAAAAAACTAATGATAATTACTTTCAGGTTGACGAAACCGAATTTACCGCTGAAGAGGCATAAAAACTACGGTGGTGGTGGTGGTGGTGAAAGTAGCAGATGTAGCGATCTTGATCTTGAGAGTGACCTTTCTCGGTAAAATCTTTATTTCTGCTATTTGAGGAATTAGATATGTGAAATAAGGAATAGAGCGTGTTCATTGAAAAATGATTGTCATTAAGGGAAATTCAAGGACAATTTCACGGAGAATTTGTTTTTTCGTCAATTACTTTATCGTTTTAGCTAGTCCACATTGTTTAATTTTAGCGGCTCAAATATTTCGATGTCCGAGGCCTTTCTTGCACGTATGCATCTTCCGGACAACCTTCGTTCTGCTTCACCTTCTTGTAGTTCTGTGTTTACGAACACGACACCTACGGCATCACCTGTGAATGTTGCTAAAACGGGTCGTGGTACGCCGCGAAGAATGTTTGGACCCACTTCTGAATTTGATTTCGATAAGATCAAATTGTATGAATTGTATAATCTGATAAGGAATCACAAGGATGATCGCGGGCGTGAACTATCACTTCCATTTTTACAGTTGCCGTCGAAATTTGTAAGTTTTAACTTTGAAATCAAAAATACTAAACCTAAATTCAAGAAAATCAAATTTTGCTTGAGCATATTAATTTGTGTCAGATAAACAAAAATAATTCTTTCAGGATTATCCTGATTATTATGATGTAATCCGTAGACCAATTGATCTTACAAAGATTCGGAATCGAATCACATCGAATTATTATGATTCAACCGATGCTTTAATTAGTGATTTCAATTTGATGTTCGATAACGCTTGTCGTTATAATGAACCAGAGAGCATGATTTATAAGGTTTGCCTTTTCATTAATGGGATAGTATTTGCAGGATATACCGGAAAAGTCAACCAAATTGAAAGCAAGTTGACATTACTTCTGTAGATTGACTAACGTTTTGTAATCCGTATTGTAAGCAGCCATTTTTAGACTAGATTTCAGAAGTAATTTGACGATGGATAATGTAAGCTGGAGAAGATGTCGTTAAGAACTTTCGGTAGGCACTTATGCCAGCATTGAGAAGTATTCCACATAACACGACGAGCAGTTTTATCTTTTTTGGTTATTGTATATCTAAGTAATAATGACTCACCATATTTTAGAATTTTTCAGAACCAAAAGTTTTATTCACTTAGACATTCATATTTTAGGATGCACTTTCATTGCAAAAACTAATTCTGTTAAAAAAACGCGATTTGTGTAAAGATAGCACATCAGCAATGAATGTGCAGTCGGAAGTGCAAGCTCTTCTTGCTTCAATTCTTATTTCAGTCAACAATCATCAAGTAATTTGCATTCAGTATTATAGGTTTTAAGGTTTGGCTAAAAAATTGAGAGTTAATTACGGAAAGTTATATTAGTGCAACGATTCATTCACTCATACTGATATTTCGTTATTCATCAACATATGGAATTACTCACTTTGTAATATTAGTGTAGATGAGCGCAGTATTTACTACTGCATACATTTAAAAGTATTGCATTGCCTTTTAAAATTTTAATGGTTGATTTTTTTTTAATTGTTGTAGGACTCTGATGGCCGATGTTTTTCCGATTCATTGGCTGATTTACCAGGAATGTTACGGAGAAAAGGCGTTGATTCAGAGAACATTCCATTCTCCATCGATGAAATGAAAAGGAATGTTGACAAGGTAGATATAGTATTTTTTTCTTTCTCTCTTTCATTTATATCTAATCTTTTGAAATTGCAAAGTTTACAGATTTCTGTGTTTCGTATTATTCAGAGTTTCAAGGGAATGTTTGCAATTGTGACGCTAGGTCGGATACTTGTCTAGAAACTGTTTCATGACGAATGGCATAGTTTGAGGTGCTAGATTGGCTTTGCACTCTATATTGTAGCTTTATACTGAAACCTAATAATCAAAATGGATCCTCATTGCATCTAATATTGAATTGTAGGATAACTAAGAAACATGAATGGTCTTTTTCATACATTGAATTACTTTTTCTAAACTCATATGTGGAAGTGTATATTTAGCATTACATTATTAAAAATTTGATTGATTTTAAAAATCGGTTGTACATTTTGTTATAGACTCAGAGGAATCCCCATAAGTTTTCAAAATGTTCGATAGGTGATTGTTTAGAAGCTTTCTTCTTATCTCAGAATTTCATAAATATGTAGTTTTCAGGGTCGTTATCGTCGGTTGGATAAGTTTCAAGATGATCTCTTTTTTTTGTTCAATGTAGCAATGGAACATGCTCATTCTGATTCTCAAGTAAGTTTAAAGATTGTAATATAGATAAAAGATCTATTTAATTTTTTTGACGATAAAAGTATTCTTCAAAATTACTGCGCTGCTCTACCGAGAGCCACAACATATGTCATTGAATGATTCGAATTATGTTTTATGTTAACTGGAAACAGTACTGATCAATAATTTTAGAAGGGGTGAACGAAAAATGTTTCGTGATTTGTAAGACTTTCATTTCATGCTGATCTGATTACTTGATATTATTTAGAATCAAAAGTTTTTAATTGTGGAGGTGAATGAGGAAACATTGCAGTACGATGTATATTGAATTCTTTTTTTTAATGAGTTGATTGTTTTCTTATATTTATTTGGAATAGAATCTCTGTTATTCTCAATTTTCCTCAGGTTACTGCTGATTTTTCGTTTTTAGCTTAAATTCATTTTGAACATAATAAAATTTGATATTCTCTTATTTTTGTAAACTTGGCAAGTTAATTGATGCCTTAAATTTTCAGGTTTTCGAAGATACTGTCGAGCTTTGGATGTATTATCTGAAAACGCGTGATGATCTGACGCGTGCTACGCTGCTATCGCCTGCTCGTTGGTATACCGAGAAAATGCTGTTTACGCATGTGGACAATATTCGAAGACGTAAACTGTTGGAAGAAGCGAAAGATGACGAGGATAATAAAAAGTCTGAAACGTTGGGACCAAAAGCGGTTAGTTTTCTTGTATTTTTGAAAGAAGTAAAGTTATAAATTGATTACTTTCAATTCAAACAGAATTTAACTGGAAATAAAATGACAAAAGTTTTTTCAGACTTTTAACGCGTCAGAAATTTGATTTTTCGTTGTTTTTATAAGATCCGAAATCTCAAAATTTCTAGTCAAATAGGAGTGAAAATAGTGGTGGGTAATTATTGTCCTTACCAGAACGAACATATCTATGATTTTTAATAATTAAAAGTAAAATTAATGCTGGTGGATTCTCTGGTTAACACCTTTAGATGCTTGCCTGTCTCAAAAAAGCTAAAGCTGTAAGTGGTAATAAGTGGTGAGTGGTCTAGAATCATCGATTTGTTTGATTTATTGATTTAATATTTTCTCCTGTGCTTTTTTTTCGAAAAAATAATAGAGTAAGGAATCTGAGTAATTAGTAAAAGGTCTTTAAAATTTGTGATTTCGAGTGATAATGTAGAGCATAAAAATTGATTTAAGTATCGAATACTGAATTGATATTAAGAATTTCCAGATAGAAGGTGTATTTTTCAATCAGATAGGGAATTTGGTACTGATGAATTGATCCTTCAGGATGGTGATATTGTCCTAGATTCAACTGGACAAGGTGGGATTATTTATCGGGTGAATGATTATGCATATGTAGCACCAGCAAGTGAAGAGACAGTGTCGCAACGACATATTATGAGGATTGAACGGTTGTATCGTGATAGCGATGGACAAACATTTGCACGTGGTACTTGGTGTTATCGACCGGAAGAAACATTTCATTTAGCTACCCGAAAATTTTGTGAAAATGTTTGTTTTGTTAGCTTACGGTTAGAAATATTAGCTCGTGGGTCCAGTTTAGTATTTAATTAACCTATGTTTTGTTTGTTTCCATGTTTTATTTTCATACATTATCTTGACAGTTTTTGGAAAAAAAAATTTTCAAGTTTTTTTCAGGAAGTATTTCTTACGTCCTACTACGATACAGTAACAGTGGATCGCCTCCTTGGAAAATGTCACGTTATGCCGATTCGGCAGTTTATGAGACAAAAACCAAAAGTATTCACATTGAAAATTT